CGGAGAGCCCCTTGGGGAATCAGTCACCAGCAGATACTTTTAGCACAGGGAGCATTCCTCTCCCCAGAGTCCAAGTGCAACAATCTCATGATAAGCCCGAGTTTTTCCAGACCAAGTTAGAGATACAAAGTTTCAGGGTGTTTTTTTTTTTAATGCTGTTAATTGCCCTCTGCTGCAGACAGCTGCTTTCCAGCTCCTGGCACTCCACTGTGTCACATGACACGGGCCTTCCTAATTGCATAAGAGAACACGGAACCCCCCTGAAGGGTCTGCACAGCACAGGTCCTGGGACCACGGGATGGTTAGGGCTGGCGCCGGAGGGCAGGGAAGCTGACTGCGGCCGTTTCACAGACAGGGACTCGGAGCCCCAAAGAGGGAAAAGGGAGTGCCTAAGCCCGGAGCAGAGGCAGCACTCAGTGTGGACGGCTGCCTCCCAGGCCCTTTCCAGGCAGAAAGGAGGATGCTTTTGCAATACATCACGTTCCTGAACCAGGAAACCAGAGGATGTCTGTTGTGCCCTCTTCCTGAGGGCTCAAGAGAAGCCTTACTGTGGCGTGGCTGAGAGCGTGAACCCAGCGCCACATCAGGACTCTGCTGCAGGTCCCGTGGCACGTGACTTCACATCTCAGTTTCCTCGTCCGTAAAATGATGGTAACAAAACCTGCCTCTCAGGATTGTAACGATGATTGAATGAGTGCCTGCCTATAGGAAGTGCACAAAAAGAACTCTCCTGGCATAGCGGTTAAAGCATTTGGCTGTTAACCAAGAGCTCAGCAGTTCAAACCCACCAGCTGCTCCATGGGAGGCAGGTGAGGTGACCAGCTTCCGTAAAGATTCACAGCCTTAGAAACCCAGTGGGGGTTGCTATGAGTCAGAAAGGACTTGATGGCAGGGACTTTTTTGGTTGGTTATTTATTTTATTTTTTTTTTTGGCTAAGCAAAAAAATAAACAGAAGAGGAGGGCAGTCAGTGGCTTTGGGCCTCGAGGGACCTGGGGTCTGGCCTGGCCTCACTGTTTGGACTTGTGACCTGCAGCAAGTTCCTTCCCCTCTCTGGGCTCTGCTCCCTCTCTGTAAGTGGGGGGGGGGGGCGGACACCTGCTGCCCTGTGTGTCCCGTCTGGGCTAGGAGGCCTCTCACAGTCTGCATACCTTCAGCCTCTCCCCGGGCTGGGATCTCACACTGCAGGCCAAAAGAGGGTGAAACCGAGCTGGAATGATTGTGCTCCCAGAAGGAAAGGCGCCCGCCAGACCTTTTCAGAAATCACAGTGTCCTGCAAAGCAGGTAACAGAGAAAGGCCCTATAAAGGAGCTAATTGTGTGGCTGATACAGCATCTCCGATATCTGTTTCCCTTTTCTTCTTCTTGAATTTAGAAAGAAAGTGATCTTTAAAAGCATCCATGTTGGAACCACAATGGTTCAAGAATCACGGGTCTCAGTTTCCCATCCCAACCCCCAAATCCAAGGAGCCCTGGTGGCAGAGCGGTTAAAACGCTCAGCTGCTAACCAGAAGGTTGGTGGCTTGAACCCACCAGCAACTCCATGGGAGAGAGATGTGCCTATCTGCTTCCGTAAAGGTGGTGCCTAGGAAACTACAAGGAGGCAGTTCTACTCTGTCCTAGAGGGTCGCTGTGGGTCAAGATCTACCTGACAGCAATGGCTTTGTTTTGGGGTTTTTTCTCCCAAACCCATACTCAAAGTTACTTTCAGGCTAGAGTGGGAAGTGCAGTACTGAGGAACCTTTAGGAGACCCGAGTCTCCACACCCTAACATGGGGTTGCAGGCAAGTTAGTGAGCTCGCTGGCCCTCCCATGGGCACAGTGTACCTCCCCCTCCCTGCCGGTCACCTGAGAGAGGGCTGAAAGGGGCAAGAGCTGCAGAGGTACGGAGACCCTGGGAACTGGCTGTGGGGCCAGATCCTCTGATGTTTGGGTGGAAGTTCTCTGCCAGTTTAGAAGCGGCCCAGCGCTGGGGTCTCAGGGGCTGCTCTCAGTCCTGAGAGGCTGCACCCCTCTGCCCGCTTCCCTCTGACCCTCATTCGGGCCCTTTTGGCAGCATGGCCTAGCCGGTCTCAAGCATATCCTGGGGTCAGGACAACTCTAACAAACAGCACAGAAGGCCAGAGGGACAGGCCTATGGGACCTGGGGGGGCGGTTACGCAGGGGGTCCTCACTTGTCCTCCCTGGGGGCAGCGAAGCTGCCACAATATGGCAGGAAGGGTTGTAGAGAGGGGCAGGGCCCTTCCTCATCGTCAGGAAAAGAACTGGCCCGCTCTACTGGGCACGATGACAGGGGCTCCCACACCAGCCCTCTGCCTGCCAGTCTATCTGGAGTCAGCATCCACTTCCCAAACCACAAGCCCACAGTCAGTGCCCCAGGGCCAGGGTCCCCGGGGCCAAGAAGAAAAGAAGACTATTAAGTCTGGCATGCAAACCCCTCTGTCCCCAATAATCTAGCCCCAGCCTCCCTTCCGGTCCCACATAGTCCTCCACGGAAACCACACTGAGATCCCAGTTACCATCTGTACCCAAAACTTTGCTTGTGGCATTCACTCGGCCTGGAATTCCCTGTATTTATTCTTTTCTTGACTCAGAAAAGTCCAGGGCCCAGTTCCCCTATCACCTGCAATGGGAAGCCTCCACCAGAAAGAACTAATCCTCTCTCTGAGCTCTTCGCCTGCCCCCAGACAGGACAGCCCTCATCATGCCCTCCGTCCCCACCAGACTGAGCACTGATGGGCAGAGTCCCTGCCAGGCTCACCAGTGGGTGCCCAGCAGAGGGGCCTGGTGCCCGGCAGGCAACTCAATCATGTTTATCCAGCTGAATAGAAGGCACTACACTCCCCCTTTTATTCTCACTTGTTAAAGCTGCTCTTGCAATTCTACGTGACAGTGGATAGAATTAGAACAAACTAATTCTATAGCAACAAAGCTGGGGGCCTGACTGTTCCTTGCTGACATCACTTGTTTTTCCTGAAAGCCAGTCGGATGGGAAAAGAGGGTGCAGGGGAGCAGGGAGGAGACCCGAGGTTCTAGCTGCCAAAGCTGCCTCTCGATGCAGTCGAGCAGCCTCCTCACGGGAGTCCTCTGCTACGGCTGGAGCAGGAGGGACGGGACCAGATGAGGGTGTACTGCTGGGGGCGCCTCTCATTCCCCAGGGCCCGAGACCAGGGCGAGGAGGCAGGGCTACCTGGAAATGAACCATCTAATCTCACACCTGGGAGCTCTGGTAGCATAGTGGCTGAGGCACTTGACTGCTAACCAGAAGGCTGGCGGTTCAAACCCACCAGCCACTCCTTGGAAGGAAGATTGGGCAATCTACTTCCGTAGGGATACTGCCTCAGAAATCCAAGGAGGGGACGCTATGAGTCGGGCTGACTCGACGGCACATAACAATAACAACAACAACAATCTCACACCTGGAGTAAGACCTGGAAAGGAACCAGTCAACTCCCATCATTTCACAGATGAGGACACACTGCCTAGGGAAGGACAGTGGCCAGCCCAGGTCACATGGATGGTAACAGACAAAGCCAGGCTTGCAATTGGAGCATCAAACCTCTAAGGCAGGTGCCACTCCTCGGAAGGAAGGTTGGGCAACCCTACTTCCGTAGTGATACTGCCTCGGAAACCCAAGGAGGGGTCGCTATGAGTCAGGGCCGACTCGACGGCAAACAACAACAACAACAAGGCAGGTGTTGCCGACTCGATTCCGATGATGGCCACCCTGTGACTGTGCTCTAAGGCAGTTGTTGCCGACTCCATTCTGATGACTGTGACCCCGTGTGTGGGCTCTAAGCCAGGTGTCACCAACTTGATTCCGATGATGGCAACCCCGTGACTGTTCTCTAAGGCAGCTGTCGCCAACTCCATTCCAGCGATGGCAACCCCGTGCGTGGGCTCCGTTCGGTTCCCAATGGTGTGGCCTTTCCCAAGTTGGTCTCCAGGCCTTTCTTTGCGGGTGCCTCTGGTGGACTTGAACCTCCAGGCCTCCGACCTTCTGGTTAGTGGCCTGACATACTAACTGGTGGCGCCTTCCAGGGACTCCTAGCAAATCTCTGGTCCTGCATTTTTCTTGCTAGACTGCTCTCTTCCTGGTGCCTGAGGCACTTGACTGCTAACCAGAAGGTTGGAGGTTCAAACCCACAAGCCACTCCTCGGAAGGAAGGTTGGGCAATCTACTTCCGTAGTGATACTGCCTCAGAAACCCAAGGAGGGGTCGCTATGAGTCAGATCCGACTCGATGGCACTGAGTTTGGTTTGGTTTTGGTTTATTTGAGGGTTACTGAAAATGGTACTAACATTATTTTCTTTATGAATCTCTGCTAACCAGCATTTGGCAATGAGTGTTTTTTTTTTTTAAGTGAAGTATTCTTTTAATTTTAAAATATATTAAATAGAAAACTCATTTAATTCAGTAATATTCCTTAAGTATTTGCTCCCCTGGGATCGAAATGTAAGATGAAGGCCCCTGTCTAGTTAGGTCTCTATGAATCCCTCTCTTGGCCCTGGTAATGGCCCCAACGTGGCTGGAATGGCCCCAATGTGGCTGGCCCAAATACCTGCAGGACCAAGTATGCTCCTGCCTCTTGAGGCTGTGTATCCCGACTGTGGAAGCGAGAACCAAGCATTAAACAAACTTCTTAAATATGCCAACTATGAAATGTGATAAAATGTCAACCGAGTGGGAGGGCTTCTTCTAGTCATTTGCTTCTCGGCTAATTCATTCCACTGCATATAAAACAAAACAAACACCTGCAGAGGTGACGTTCATTCCAGTGTCATTGCCACAGAAGGAAGAAGACAGCGGTAGCTTCTAGAAGTTCATCCTGTCCCTCCCTGTTCCTGCCCCTGTGACAACATGGTCCCCTTTCTGCCCCCGTTCCTGCCCCTGGGACAAAGTGGTCCCCCCGGCCCCGTTCCTGCCCCTGGGACAACATGGTCCCCTTTCTGCCCCCATTCCTGCCCCTGTGACAACATGGTCCCCTTTCTGCCCACTCACGTCAGGGTCCAGCTCATCTAGCTCATTTTCCAGGGTCCTCAGTTCCTCCTCTGTTAGGGCTCCGAGGATTTCATCTTCATCCAGGTCCCGGTACTTCTCTAGCTCCCGTCTGTACGACATTGTGGGAGAACCTGTCTCTGTCTTACAGCTTCTGTGCAGATCTAGGACCTACCAGAAAGAGAAGAACCTTAGACAGCGCCTTCTTGGACGAGACTGATGCTCTCAGAGCCTCAATGGATGCTCATCATGCATATGGCAACCGGGGCAGGCTATATAAATCACCAGCGTAGTCATCACTATGGTGGAATGCTGCACTAATTTGGACTAATTCTCTCACAGAAGTGTGCAAGGTGAAAGTCTGTAGGGCATGTGATTTAATGAACTGTAATTGGTTGTATTTGGCATGCTCCATTGATTACAAGCAAGTGGGTGATTATAAATGGCTTAAGAATGCCTGAAAACAATTTGATTCTTCAAGGCGTCTGAATACTTTTCTGCACAAAGCCCTACCCTTCACCCTGCACCCCAATGGGATTCACAGATACCAGCAACTCTTCCAAAGCTGAGTTTTCAAAGGAGGGCCACCAATTGCTAGCTGAGCACTGGATTACATGCAAGCCCTACAACACCTCAATCCTTAACAAAAAAGTAACTGACCATAACAGCATTTTGAAACAACAATTATTGGGGTGAAAATATATGTAACAGAATACTCGCCAACATAATGGCTAACTCTTCCTACCATATGCTGGGCAGCATGTCAGGCACATCACACGAGTTTTCTCATTTAACCTACGAGGCAGGCATTTACCATTTTGTGGTGAGGAAATTGAGGTCATACGAGTGTGCAGTAACTCACCCACAATCACATTACCAGGAAGTGGCAGAACTACAGTGTGAACCCACAGCCACTGGTGTTCAAAGCCCCGCTTCACTCTAGCCGTCACATCACAACCCCTTTATCATAGAATCACTTAATTTCATGCAGAAAGGGGACTGACTGTATAGTCTGGATCCTTCATTTTTGCCCCCAAGGCAGCTGGCCCAGAGGGAAGAAATGATGTACCCAGGGGCACGCATGGGGCCAGGGCCCCCATGCCCCACACTGTGCCCGTCCGCTAGGAAAAACTCATGCTCATCTGCTTCTCCTGGCTGACACTACACCTGTGTTCGAAGCCGATCTTGGCTACTTCCCATAGCTCACGACACACCATGGAAGTTGCTTCTTCTCATTTAAACCATTTAATCAATGAGGTCTGTTTTGCAGGTGGCCCAGGCTCTGTTTTGACTGATGATACTGAGTGTCTCTTTCCACAGATGTAGTCGATTTGATTCCTGTGTATTCCATTCAGCAAGGTCTACGTTTGCATTGTCAAAAAAAGGTATTTGCAATGAATAAGTCTTGCGAAATTCTCTCATGTAATCTCTGGCGTCTTTTCTATCACCAAGACCATACTTTTCAACTACTGATCCTTCTTTTTGTTTCCAACTTCCACATTCCAATCATCAGTGGTTATCAAGGCATCTTAATTGCATGTTTCAATTTCAGACTGCAGAAGTGGGTAAAAATCTTCAATTTCCTCATCGTTGGCACTAGTGGTTAATGTGTAAATTTGAGTAATAGTCGTACTAACTGGTCTTCCTTGTAGGTGTATGGATATTATCTTATCACTGACAGCATCATAGTGCAGGATAGATCTTGAAACATTCTTTTTGATGATAACACGACATCACTCCTCTTCAAATTTCTCATTCCCGGCATAGTAGACCATGTGATTGTCTGATTCAAAATGGTATTTTTGTATTTACAAGTGTATTTATGTATTACACTTAATTTTCAACAACTTCCAATTTTCCCACATTCATACTTATTACATTCCTTGTTCTGATTATTGATGGATGTTTGCAGTGTGCAGCTGTTTCTTCTCATTTGCTGGTATTGGAAATAGCAGTGGCGTAGCTTTGAGCATCATAGCAACATAGAAGCCAACACATATGACAAAATGACACACAGCTCCAGTATCATCAGTCAGAATGAGGCCAGGGGCTCACTGTGGAACAGGTCATCGATTGCTGACATTCAAGTTCAAGTTGAAGCTGAAGACAATTAAAACAAGTCCACAAGAGCCGAAGTATGACCTTGAGTATATCCCACCTGAACTTAGAGACCATCTGAAGAGCAGATTTGACGACATTGTACTCTAATGACTAAAGGCCAAAGGAGTTGTGGGATGACATCAAGGACATCACACATGAAGAAAGGTCATTAAAAAGGCAAGAAAGAAAGAAAGAACTAAAATAGATGTCAAGAGACTCTGAAACTTGCTCTTGAATATAAAGTAACTAAAGTGAAGGAAGAAATGATGATATAAAAGAACCAAACAGAAGATTTCAAAGGCAGCTCGAGAAGACAAAGTAAATATTATATTGAAACTTGCAAATACCTGGAATTAGAAAATCAAAAGGGAAGAACATGCTTGGCATTTCTCAAGCTGAAAGAACTGAAGAAAAAATGCAAGCCTCAAGTTGCAATATTGAAGGATTCTATGGACAAGATACTATGATGCAGGAATTATCAAGGGAATTGGAAGGAATACACAGAGTCACAGTACCCAAAAGAATAGGCTGGCATTCAAGCATTCCAAGAGGTAGCATATGATCGAGAGCTGATAGCACTGAAGGATGAAGTCCAAGTGGCAGTGAAGGCCTTGGCAAAAAACAATGCTCCCACTGAGATGTTTTAACAAACAGATGCACTGCTGGAGGCACTCACTCATCTGTGCCAAGAAATCTGGAAGACAGCCACCTGGCCAGCTGACTGGAAGAAGTCCATACTTGTTGCCCATGCCAAAGAGAGGTGATCCAAAAGAATGCAAAAATTATCGAACAAGATGATTAATGTCACATACAAGTAAAATTTTGCTGAAGATAATTCAAAATTGGTTGCACCAGTACATTGACAGGGAACTGCCAGAAATTCAAGCCAAATACAGAAGAGGACATGGAACGAGGGACATCATTGCTGATAGCAGATGAATCTTGCCTAAAAGCAGAGAATACTAGAAAGATGTTTACCTATGTTTTATTGACTAGTCAAAAGCATTTGACTGCATGGATCTTAACACACTATGGAAAACACTGAAGAATGAGAATTCCAGAATACTTGATTGTGCTCATGCCGAACTTGTACATAGCCCAAGAGGCAGTCGTTTGAACAGAACAAGGGGATACTTCGTGGTTTAAAATCAGGAAAGGTGTGTGTCAGGGGTATATCCTTTTACTGTACTTATTCAATCTGTATGCTGAGCAAATAATCTGAGAAATTGTATTACATAAAGAAGACTGCATCATCAGGATAGAAGGAAGACTCCTTAACAACCTGAGATATACAGATGACACAACCTTGCTTGCTGAAAGTGAAGAGGACTGAAGCACCTACTGATGAAGATCAAAGACTACAGTCCTCAGTATGGATTACATCTCAACATAAAGAAAACAAAAATTCTCACAACTGGACCAATAAGTAACATTACGATAAACAGAGAAAAGACTGAAGTTCTGAAGAATTTCATTTTACTTGCATCCACAATCAATGCCCATGGAAACAGCAGTCAAGAAATCAAATGATGTACTGCATTGGGCAAATCTGTTGCAAAAGACCTCTTTAAGATGTTAAAAAGCAAAGACATCGCCCTGAATACTAAGGTGCACCTAATTCAAGCCACGGGATTTCCAATCACCTCACACACATTTGTAGGAACTCTGGTGGTGTAGTGCCTAAGGCATTTGACTGTTAACCAGAAGGCTGGTGGTTCAAACCCACCAGCCACTCCTCGGAAGGAAGGTTGGGCAATTTACTTCTGTAGTGATATCGCCTCGGAAACCCAAGGAGGGGTCACTATGAGTTGGGACCAACTGACAACAGTGAGTTTGGGTTTTTTTTTTTTTGGTCATATGCATTTGAAGGGAGCTCTGGTAGCATAGTGGCTAAGACACTTGCCTGCTAACCAGACGGCTGGCAGTTCAAACCCACCTTGGAAGGAAGGTTGGGCAATCCTACTTCCGTAGTGATACTGCCTCGAAAACCCAAGGAGGAGTCGCCATGAGTCGGGTTTGACTCGATGGCACATAACAACAACAACAACAACATGCATTTGAAAGCTCAACAATGAATAAGAAAGACTAAAGAAGAATGATGCATTTGAATTCTGGTGTTGGCAACGAACACTGACTATACCACGGACTGTCAGAAGAACCAACAAATCTATCTTGGAAGAAATACAGTCAAAAATCTCCCTAGAAGTGAGGGTGAGGCTTTGTCTAACATACTTTGGACATGTTATCAGAAGAGTCTAGTCCCAGAAAGGACACTGTGCTTAGTCAAGTGGAAAGTCAGTGGAAAAGAGGAAGACCCTCAATGACATGGGTTGACACGGTGGCTGCAACAATGGGCGCAAACATGGCAATGATTTTGAGGTGGCTCAGGACCTGGCAGGGTATCCTCGTTGTACACAGGGTCACTGTGAGTCAGAACCGACTCGATGACACCTAACAGCAACAACCAATCAATGAGGAAACAAAGCCTAGCGCCTAGGGCTCAACCCCGGGCCCCCAACATCAGACCCCAGGGCTCCCCACTACACAGTCTGTAGCCTAATCTAAGCAAGAGATCCTTAGCCCTTCTCTCCTCCAGCTCAACTAAATTTGATAACATTGCTGAGTCACACACCCTCTGAGCCCAGGTCACATGTCACCTCCTCAGTGAAGCCTCAGCAGTCCCTCACTAAGCAAAGCTCATCGCGGCCTGTAGCACTGCATCCAAGCCTCTCGACACATCTCCTCTGTCTGAAACAAAGTTGGAGAACAGAGGCTTAGACTCACTGGTGGGTGGTATCAGAAAGACACTCAGAACCACACAAGAAGGGACGGAGGGGCAGGACCATCTGGAACACACTTATTGGAAAGCTGGACAGGTTTGGGACTGTGGGAGCACCCCAGGCCTGTTATCTCTGCTACTAGCCTCTTTTCCTAGATGATTTGCAATGAAATCTTTACCTCCCCGTTGGTAGGGCCTGTGTTTGCTTCATCCTCCCACCTCTGCTCTCCAGGGCCTGGGCCAAGGCCAAGCACATGGTGG